AGTTGTGGAATCTACTCTTATATTTTTATTGTTTTTACCGTTTGATTTTAATTGTTGAGCCATCCAGAGTCACCCTCTTGGGGAGATGCGCGGCATAGAAATTTAATAAATAAATAAATAAAGCCATCCCTTGAATTTTTAACCAAACTACCCTGAAAATGTGCCACCTCCTGATAAGCCGATTGGGAAAATTAAAACGTATGAAATTTTGGGGGGTCAGCTTCTCTGCGGATAGGCTTATACACAGGTATATACAGGATGTACTTTAAAAAGCATTGCGTATATATTCATGGATAAACCTATTCACAGATAATCTGAACCCAATTCTTTGGGTGTATTTTAGCACCTAAAATTCTTGGTTTATTTTATTTTTATTTTTATTTTTTAATTTATTTTCAAATTTGTATGCCGCCCATCTCCCCCAATGGGTATCCACGAGTATATATGGTAAATGCATAGCATGAAATATATAGATAGAGATTACCAAAGGAAACCAGTTTTAATGTATTGTCAAAGGCTTTCACGGCCGGAATACGATGGCTGGTGTGGGTCTTCTGGGCTGTGTGGCTGTGTTCTGGAAGTTTTGTTTCCTAACGTTTCGCCAGCATCTGTGACCGGCATCTTCAGAGAGCAGGAGCACAGACAGAAACCAGTTTTCACAATATTAAAAAATAACAACTATGTAATACAGTAATGTATGTGCTTCTTTATTAATCTATGAAATCTATAACAAGACAATACATTTAAAAGATAGGCAAGTGAAAATTTTATTTTTTCCCATCCAAGTTTGGGGACCCCCTGAAGTCTATCCATGGACCGCAGGTTAAGCACCCCTGAGGTCAGGGAAGGCAATGTTCTTCTTCCATTATGTCCTCAGCATGTCCTGTCTCAGCTGTTCTTGGCAAATAGGATGCCAGGATCGTGTGTAGAAGGGTGCCTGGTTCTCCAACTTCCACAAATGAGCCATTAGGGAGAATTTGGTGTAGAGAAGTAGGGCAATGGCCTTGAAGAAGGAATTCAAGGACTGTTATGTAAACATCAGCTTAGCCTTGATAGACAGGAGAGGGTGAGGAAAAGTCTCAAGACTTCCCCACCTTGACTCTCTTTGGTATAAGAGGGAGGGCAGGGGAAACACCATCAAGATTCTGTTATTATCTGCATCAGTGTTTCTCAACCTTGGCATGGCTGGCTGGGGAATTCTGGGAGTTGGAGTCCACCCATCTGAAAGCTGCCATGGTTGAGAAACACTGATCTATATACTATTAAAACTTCCCTATCTGTTTATCTCTTTGTAACATTCAGTTGAGCGAAACGGTGCATCATAGGGCAACTGTTTTTCAATCAAGGTGCCTCAAATGGGCTAACTTACAGAATGCATCCAAAATCCAGGACCCATAACTCCTGTGGGATTGAAATTTGACAAAGTTGTGCCTGCTTAAGTGCCACCACGCCACCGCTGTTGGCAGCGGTCACATGATTGTCATTTGCAACACTCCCTGCCAGCTTCCCCCAAGGAAAGTCAGTGGGGAAGCTGGCAGGAAGTTGCAAGTCATCCACACTCCCACTGCTTTCTTGCCCTTAGTCATTCTGTTTCTCTGTTTAGGTAAGGAAATATCTCTGAAAGGATGACCCAGCAGATCATGAGTTGTCTAGTACCCTCCAACAATAAAGTAGAGTTCCAATGGTTCACACAGTCTGTTTCTACCCTGAAGGGCTGACGTTCTCCTTCCTTCTCCCCTTGACATGGGCGGTTTGGGGGCCGCTCTGATGCCATTTCTCACCCGCAGGGCCGAGGGAAAGATCAAGCACTGCCGAGTCCAGCAGGAAGGGCGGCTTTTCATGTTGGGCAGCTCGGCAGAATTCGAGAGCCTTCTCGACCTGGTCAGCTACTACGAGAAGCACCCGCTCTACCGCAAGATGAAGCTGCGGTACCCTATCAACGAGGAGACCTTGGAGAAGATGGGCACAGCGGTGAGGGGTCCCTCTATCTCAGCATTTCTCAGCCTTGGGAACTTTAAGATGGGTAGACTTCAACACCCAGAATTCGCCTGCCAGCTGGCGGCGAGTTGCTAAGGTTGAGAAACACTGCTTTAGAGCAGGGGGGCCAGGGCTGGTCTGGTCACGAGTCTCATTCTTTTCCTGACAGGAGCTGGATTATGGGGCACTGTATGAGGTGAGGAGCCCTCACTTTTATGTGGAAGCCAACAAGATGCCTGTGGCCAGGGTAAGTGGACGAGGCCAGGGGTTGCTCTTCATCCTCATCTGTTGCAGCTTTAAAAATAGATATGGCCGCCTTCTCATTATTGCAATTAAAAATAAAGGATGAAAATGCTGATCACATTAGCCAATTATGGATGGATGGATGGATGGATGGATGGATGGATGGATGGATGGATGGATGTATTTAAATGATTTATAGAGCTGCCCATCTCACAGCAGTGACTCTGGGCGATGTACAAAGATTAAAACCACTACCCCAGTGTATAACCCGTGATGCCCCGGTTTCCCACACCGAATAGCCATGTCGCCAGCAGGGCTCACCTAACCTCCTGGCCCAGATGCCTGGGGGAAGAGCTGGGTCTTCGGAGCTGTACAAAAGGCTAACGGGGTCAGGGTGGAGCGAAGCATTGCGCCCAGCCTGATGGTTTGCAAAGAGCCTGCATTTAGTTCGTTCTATGAAAGTCTTAAGTCACTGAACGTTCCCTTTCTCTGGTCCTTCTCGGTCATGCAAGGCAATAAACCTGGATTGGGTATAAACTGCCTAGGGGTCCAGACTTATGCTGGGGATTAAATGACATCATTGGGTAGGGACAGGAAAATAAAATCAAGTGAGGATCATTCCAACAACTTCTTTGTGAGATTCTGACATGATCATTGTTAGGAGCATGATTTTATTAATTTACAGCAGTGTTTCTCAACCTTGGGAACTTTTAAGACGTGTGGACTTCAACTCCCAGGATTCCCCAGCCAG